GTCCCACACCCCCGATTCCATTACAAAAGGCTCCGCTTGGGATATTTCTCCCCCAGCACGTTTTGATAGCGAGATCAAGGACAAACTTGTTGCGTGTCTTTGGAATCTTTTTTTCCTGTAGATTTTTTTTTTTTTTTAAATTTTTTTCCCCCCCCCAAATTCTTTTCGCGGTAAAGTTCGGAGAAATTTGCGGTTCTCCCGCCGCAATTAAGAGGGAGAGGGAGCACGATCTTGATTGCTCCTGCTCGCTTCGGAGGTGGGGAAGGGGAGGGGGAGACGGGACGACGGGAGGGAATTGATTTTAGATTTCTCTTTTATGTCGGGTCTGGTTTCTGGTGATTAAATTTCTCTCTTCTGTGGACTGAACCTCGGGATAACTGATTAATAACATGCCACTTGGCGCCAACACGGGGTCTCGAGGCCTTTAATCGGCAAGATGCACAAGAGAACAGAGAGAAACACAGAGCAGGACAAAACTCCACCGACTATTTCAGCCTGCTGCTCTCTGCCTCGGCAGATTTTTTTTTCCCTCCCCCTCATCTTTTCAGTATTTCCTGCTAAACTCGTAAACTTTATTTGATTTACAGCTATTTCATGAACCTGCTTAAACTAACATGTGTTCCGTCTTGTCCGACTGAATCATAAAAACAATCTTGGATCCAAACGAGATTTTTTTTTTTTTTTTTTTTAAAGGAAGAAACGAGTTATTAATGACAGAAAATAGACATTGTCTTGAACGGTGGCTCCTCGGGCACCCGCAGTGGGGAGGTTGGTGGCTCCTGTGCCCGCAGCCTGCGGGGGGACCCGGGCTCGGCTCCGCAGGTCCCACCCGGGCTCCGGGGGAGCTTTTTCCTGCAGAGATTCGAGCCCTTCTTTACCCTGAAAATAATTTTTCGTTGGAAATGAACGATTTTCAACCCAAAATGAGCTGGCAAAGGCATTAACCCACGGCCCCTGTGGTGGCAGCCTGGCAGACACACACAGGGCAGGTAAACACGCCTGGCTGCCCCCCAAAAATCCCAGGCAGGAACTAAACGAGCTCCTGGGATTTTCTCCGTAGGGTGGATCTGGGATTTTTTTGTGCCCCAAACCACAGGACAGAGAAGCACTTTGCTGTTGATATCGGTGGAACAGGTATAAATCTATAGGATTGTATGGATGGAAGCACACGTGGGCTTATAAAAAAATGGGGTTTCCTGCACCGAGTACCGACAGCACCCAAATAATCAGCTCCCATTCCCACCTCTGTTTGTGTGGAACAGCTCTCCAGGGAAGGTACCTGCTGCCCTCAGAATTAACTCCCTGACACTTCGGGAAGCAGGATAGGTCATCCCACTGCTCCCAAATATCGCTGATAACCCGCGGGGCTCTGCCCCTCCAAAACCGATTTCTCTTCTGCTCTCGGGTGGCTCAGGGCCCTGAAGTTACGATTTGGGACCTCGCCCAGCCCTGGAATAACACAGGAAATACTCTTTTTTTTCCCCCTTTCTTTTCTTTTCTATTCCTCCTGTGATAATTTTTAGGTGTTTAATGTTTAGTGAAGACACAAACGAAAGAAATCTCAGTAACTCTTTGGGTTATCGATGTCATCTGTACTTTTCCAGCACAGATAACAATGGATTTGATAAAAATGGATTTTAGGATGTCCACGACACCACTCCAAAGCCGGTTTAATGCGGTTCCCGTGCTGGGGGCCCACAGCCATCCCCCCGCCTCCCTGGGAGCGTCTCCCTCTTCCAAAATTCACGGATAGCCGGGAATACAAAGGATAATCTGAATAAAACAGAGCGGCCGGGCTGCGCTGTCGCTCGGTGTTATTTAGGGCAGTGGAAGAAAAGGGACCGGGGGCGAGAGAAGGGGGGAGAAACGGAAAATGGGGAAGAAAAGAGGCGAGAGGGCTTGGAAAGGAGGAAAGAGGCAAAGAAAAATGAGTTGGAGAGAAAGGGAGGGAGAAAGTCGGCCGGGATGAGGGAACTGTGGGGATGCCCGGGGTGTCCCCCCCGCCCAGGGCTCCTCTCCCGGGGAGAGCCGGGGCTGAGCGGGAGGGCGAGGGAAGAGAAGAACATTCACAGGTGCTGCTTTGAGCCCTTTTATCAGTGCCTGACTCCAACTCTTCGGGATCGGGCTCCTTTTGGCAGCCCCGCTTCCCCCTCAAGGTCATGGCGAGCTCTCCCAGGGGGAGCGCAGGGCGCTGAGGATTTCCCCCTCTTGCCCCTGTTTAGTTTTTTCCCAGGGAGCGAAGAGAGCGAAGGCCTTTTCTGCTGTGATTTTCCGAGATAAGGCTGTGACTGACTCTGCCCTGCTTGGGAAGAGCAGATGAGCCCGGCCGTGCGCCCCTCTCCAATGGGGGCACCGGGATCCATCGGGAATGGAGCGGGGATCCCATGGGCACCCCGTGCCAAAAATCACCCGCTGATAATGGGAAAGCGAAACGCAGCCCAAATCCCTCCTTTCCTGGGCAGCGCTGCGGGAAAGCTGCGGAGGGGATGGACTCCTGTCCCCCTGAGAGCCGCCTTTTGGGGGGAACAGGGGAAAGAGAATGGATCCCTTTTGCTCATGGGGTGCTCCGAGGTTAATTTGGGGATCCTCACGCTCTTCTTGGCGTGCAGGAGGAAAAGGGATCTTCACCCCCAGGCGTGCCCGCTCCACGCCAAGCCCTGCCTCTGCCCGGCTCCTGCTTTCTCATTTTCCTCACTATTTTAAAGTCTGCAGCTCGCCTGGGAAATTAATGGGCTGCAGGGAGGGGAAAAGGGCTTTAATTGCAAACTTTTTTTATTTTTTTTTTTTTTTCCTTAAGGTAGCCAGGAGGGCGGGAAGAAAAAAAAAAAACAAACAAACAACAAACAACAAAAAAACAAATCCAAAACACCCGAAACCACAAAGTTTAAAAGAAAAACGTTATTCACCTGTAATTAAAAAACCAAAAAATAAAGCTCGATGCAGGTATCTACCCCCAAAGGCTCGTCTAAAGCAATTCTCCAGCACTAAATGCAGGATTTTGTAATGGAAATAATGACATGACAGAACTGTATTGGCGGGAGTTTTATACAAATATTTTGTTGATATCAACTCTCAGGTCAGTGCAGTCAGTCCCTGCCCCCATGACTGAGGGGAAAAAAAATATTGAGAAAAAATTTTGAGGAAACAATTGGGAGAAAAAAATCTAACGCACATTTAAAAAAAAAACAAAACCAAAAACCAATAAGTGAATGGACAAAAATGCTTCAAGGGAGGAGGATTATTTTAAACACTTGTTTGCTCCCAGGTGTGTATTTCACCAAAGCGAAAAGCGGCCAGCAAAAGGGAAATAAAAGCAAAGAGAGAACTGGTCCGAGAGGGGAAGTAAATTATCTAAAAATGGAAAGGAAAAATAATAATCCCTGCTAGGAGGGAGCTGATTTTCTCTGCAAATACGGGAAGGAGGGAAAAAAAAGAGCGTTGGGAAGCCACAAGTGCTGATGTATCTGTATTTTACCAGCCGGGCGGCCACGCTGCCCCGTCCTTGGGCAGGGTGGCTGCCGAGGAGCCGCGAGAGAAAAGCAAAAACCTCTTCGATTTGGTTAAGCCGACCCAAAAAGTGATTTTAAAGGGGTGTGGAG